TGCTACAGTCAAAAGCGAAGTAGATTGTCTCAGATGTATTGCCTCTCCATCACTCCATAACACTGACATAGCCCAGTCACAAAGGCGTGTACATGAGAGGTTGAACAATGCATGTGAACAGTCTCCTGAGCATTTTATTTCACTCCTTGCATTTGTCCTTCAGGAATTTCCCACTCTATCATGATATCAACTTGAAAATTTCCTAATAAAGAAGGTAGAACTCGTAGACAAGGAAAAATTTCAAAATTATTGCTCTTTTTAGAGTCATACATCTCATATTTCCGTGGGGAATTTACCAAATTTTAGCATCACAGTCTTTGGAAAAAGTCATATGTATTATGAGGATTCCTATTTTGAGGCAGCCCTTAACTAAGGGGATGTAATTATCATTCTGTAACATTTCAGATGAGAAGCTGCATTTGACCAAACTGTACCACTCACAAACAAAGGCCACTTTTCTATTAATTAAAAGCAGCTGATGACCAGTTTATGAGAAAAAAAAAAAATTCAGACATATTCTCATGTCACACAATCATGTTTATACCTTGTTTTATTTTAATGTGAACTCACAAGTGTTAATGTATAAGGGCAAGGACTGCCAAACATAATTCACAAGAACAGGATTCTCTTCAAAATAGAAATCCATATAGTGCACTGGGAAAATGCCCCTGCATACATTGCCTAATTTAAATTAATGTGTGGCTTTGGTAATGATTTGAAGAAGCTGCTCTACTCTCTTTTCTGTTTTGTGTTAGAGTGGAACAAAGATAAAGTACTGCATGAGAAAAGTAGCTCAAGAAAGGCTATGATTAATGAACAGAAAAACACAAATAGGGTCACCTGCTTTTTAAGAATGAACAGTCACAAGCTCTTTAGGGCAGCAAACCCCCATGATACTGTTGTTAGAAAAGTTCTCCTTTAAGTAGACAAGCATAGCACCTTAGCTTATCTTTTTAATGAAAAGGAAGTCATCAAAAGGGAAGTAGGCAAAAACCTGACGTTCATCATGCTTGATGCTCTGAAGGTTCCTCAGGCAGAAAAGGCAAAATAAAGCTGCCCTGAATTCAGAATTTGCTGCCCTTGCCAAACCCAAAGAAGTCTTACTATATTACACAGTAATAGCTACTTGAGGTCTCTTCAGTTTCAGCCACGCAAAAGAGGGGAGACAGCAGGTCACTCCCCAGCCTCTCCTTGCAAAAGGATAATGCAGTAGCCATGATACTACTGAAAGAAGTAGGCATGAGTGTGGCATTCTTTAACTGGAAAGAGTTCCACGGATAATAAGGGAAACAACTACGCAGAAACAACTATGCAAAAGAATAACAAAAGACAATTTTTCTGGCACCTCCCTGAGAAACGAATAAATAAAAGTAAAAAGGCTGAATGCCTCAGCTTTTATTTATTTGTTGTAACAAATCAGGCACCAGTGATGGTAGGAGACTCACCCTGTAGGATAAGCTCTGCTCTGTTCTTTTTGTAGCCTCTCCAAAGCAATCCAGGACTGCAGCCCTACTCTAAACACCAGCAGCTCCCCACAGAGCAGGAGTGCTGCTTTAGGAGTGCAGAATCAGCAAAAGGGCTCCCCTGCCATTTCCCTCCATGTCCCTCCTCTTTGCTGATAGTATGACAGGAGAAGGAGGTGCCTCTAGAGAAATGCAGACATTCTCAGTATCAGTACATTTATATTTAACTCTGTAACAGACACACAAAGCTACTCTAACTTGGCATAATGTGACTTTTTTATACATGAAGGCAGCAGCAATTAACCTGACATGCTTTGCGTAAATCCTCCAAATCCTGTTTATTTCTTACCTAAGTAAATGAACCATTGATCCAAGGAGAAGCTGCTTTGCTCCAGACACCTTTATCTCCTGACCCTTTTAGTGTCCTATGAAAAATAAGTAGTTGTGATAGGTCTGATTTAAGAATTAGCTCTTGAGCAACATGGTGAGTTGTGACGTGGTTGTCTCCTGCAAGAATTGGCCATTTTACTTTTATTTTCTCCCACTCTTATTTCTGGAGGAACTGCGATAGGAGAATGACACCAGTTTGTCACCAAACTCCAAACTCCATACTCACCTCCTCTGGCTGCGCTCTTTTAAATTCCTACAATCTCTTTGTGAAATGGCAAAGTCCCGAAGATCTGTATGTTGTTCAGTTTTTCCACAGTTCAGTAAAATGAAACTCTTCGTAGCTCACATTTGTAACTGATCTGGACACACACTTGCTAGGGAGAATTTGGGCAAAGCACGAACTGTGGTCCAGGGTGGTCAGGTTTTATCTGCTGTTTTTAGTTATCAAGCTTAAGACAACACAATCAAGCCTATTGATTGACTAGTTGGGTACTTACTTGTGGTTTTAACATGCAAAACCCGTATAACAATTATGGAAATTAGAAAAAATATAGCACTGAAAAAATTATTCATTCAGAATGAGAATTGTACTTGAACTATCCTCCACAATCATCAGTTAGTTAATTTGTCCCAATATTTATAGTTCATCATTTCAACTGCCAAAACTGGCAACCACCAGGATTGTTGTCTCAATTAAGGACAGTAAACAGATTGTCCCATTTTTTTTAATGAAAAAATCTAAAATGTAATACTTCACAGTTTAACATGTTTATTCATTTAAACGAGCTAAAAAATAGTGGTGTGACATCTGCTTGAGAGACACTGGTACCTAACATTTTGGCTGTCTCCCCACCAATTTGATTGTGATTAAGGGGGAATAAAAGGGTGAGTAGAGGATTCTGTCAATTAAATGAATTGATGAACTACAAGCAAAATATTTTTTTCACTCTTGGGAAAGTGTAGAAATACACCTACAAAAATGCATTACAGAAAACTAAGAGGATGATGGGGAAAAGTACTCCAAAATATCTCCATTGGCTCTTTCAGGGAAAAATATTGTAAGCATAAGATCACAGACGATCTTTGCCAGTTTATTCATCTCATGGCTTCATTTCCCAAAGTACAGGTATAATCCACTATAAAATCTTTTAAGAAGCAGTTCCAACATCACATTTCCGCTGTCTTACTGATGTGCCATATTGTTACTTTCTCAGTCATAAGCACCACTAATTATTATGCTACTGTAAGTAACACTTAAAATGCAATCAAGGTCTGTAGTATCCTGTGTGTTGGCACCCTAACTTGCCTACTCTGCTTTTCAAGTACGGTCCTTTACAGAGAACTGTCCTAAATGCATTTGGCCTTTACCAACTGGCTCAGTTGTGCCTTACAGGCAAAATCCCATATCAGTTATCACTCTTCTGGGAGCTGCTAGCAACATTTTCCTTCTTGAAAGGGTAGCACTCAAAACCTGGCCTTGGTAGCAATTTTCATGGAAACGGTATGAACAGTTTTGCAGGGCTTTCACTGAGTTTTTCTTTAGGACAGTTTAGCAGAATTGTCTAAAAACTGTTTTCAAAAACAACTTTTAGGTCAACCACTCCAGAGGACACCTAAGCAAACAGATGAGCAAACTGCTCACGCTGTGGCTATCTGCAGTTACGTGCTCTGGCATAACATCACAGTCTACACGTTGTCCCTGCTACAGCTGGCTCATGCATGGATGGAGCTATGACTGATTCTGAACCACATGATGTCTGTATGATATGCAACAGTGAACTTTAACTTAAGCGTTCTTCAAGAAAAGTTTAAATGTATCTCTAGAGTCTACTAGGGAAATGCTTAACATGCCTACTAAACTTCCAGTAAAATATATTTATAGACTCTAGGTAGTAGAGCTAAAGCCTTTCCTTGGCAATGTTCAGTAGAAGCACTAGTAAAACTACTATATTGAGGCTTCTGCCCTGAGATGGTCTACATGCTGCTTTGGCTTTTGTAGGATCAAAGAGAAAAGGAAAACCGCCAAGGAAAGATTTACTGAGCAGAATCACTGCTGGAAGACTGTTATGCCTTCCTAGCCAGAGATTCTTCCAGACAGGACATGTGTTCCCACCATAGCACAAGGACTCAGTATAGGCATCTCCTCCACCCTAGAGGTGAATATCCTTGAGAAAACCTGCCTCCTTAAGCCAGGTTTGCCATGTAAAGAATTTGATCAGCAATCCTTCTCTGAAACAAGTGTTCAAAAGTATTACTTTTATAATAAAGTCAATTTGTCTGAAGGGATGGAACCACATGGATAAACCATGCCTGAAGAAAGCCTTGCTCTATTGGTATTGGGTAGCCTGCCAAAGGAAGCTCTCTGTGTTGTCTTTTAAGTATTCATAGGCCACATTTAATTTTAATATGAGCTTAGGAGCTAGAACTGCCTAAAATAATCCAGATATTCTAAAACTGATATTACTGCTCACTTTTGAACACTGTGCTGTTTTGATTGCTTTAATGCCCTTTCAAATGTATATATATATAATTCAGTGTGCTCAACATTAATAAGAGAACCAAAATAGTAAAAAACTCTTTATTAATAAAATAGACACTGAACAACACATACAAAGATAGATGACCCAAACCCCAAGAGGCATGTCTCAATCTCAGATATAATTAAGAGCAAATTAAACCACATGTCCCAGTAGAAATCATTGTACTGATAAGAAAAGAAGTGTATTGGCTGCAATATTTACCATGTATTTCTAAGTACACTGAAGTCTATCCAGTTTACCTAAGCAAAAAGAAATATTCCTGTTACGTGAGAACATCCTTCCAGTACATGAAGGGAGCCTACAAGAAAGATGGAGAGGGACTTTTTACAACAGCATGTAGTGACAACACAAGAAGGAATCAATTCAAACTAAAAGAGAGCAGGTTTAGATTGACATTAGGAAAAAGTTCTTTATTCTGAGGGTGGTGAGACACTGGAACAGGTTGCCCAGAGAAGTTGTGGATGCCCCATCCCTGGAAATGTTCAAGGCTGGGCTGGATGGGACTTGGAGCAACCTGGTCTAGGTCAGGTCAGGTGTCCCTGTCCATGGCAGTGGGGTTGGAACTAGATGAACTTTAAGGTCCTTCCAAGACAAACCATTCTATGATTCTATGATCCATTCTACAAGTCTATGATCTTTCATGCAAATGATAATGCCTAATCTAAACAAAGCAAACACACTGCAAACTATGGCACTTGTGGGCAATACGGACTCATAAGCCACACATCAGGGAAGTTGCTAGAATCACAATATATATGTCCTTTAGTTTTTGTCTGATTCATAATTATGGGAAATGCAATATTCCTGTTCTAGGAACTTCATAAATTTGACAGTAAGAATTGCTTGCTTCTTATTGTAACTGATTCAGAGAACACGTTAAAAGACAGCCCGTGGGAAGAGAGTAACTACACATCTTAGGCCACGCATCACCCAGAGAGCTGTATGCAGACATTAAGAAAGCAATTCTTCCAGCATCTTATAGAACAAGAAAATTGCTAATGCAAATTAACAGGAAAGGTCTGCAGCTTCTGTGACATGTGGTGGGGCACTGGTGAAGTGAAAGGCGTCACATCCGAGCAGACAGCTCGTGATACGCTTTTCCCTTCACTGAAAGTTGGGCCACATGTCAGATAATGTTTCACCATAAATTCAGCATGTTGCTATGCATGTGGTCATGTGTGCAAGTAGCATCAGACTATAAGTCTGCATGCATATATGTTAGGGTTTTGTGTCTGTAACAGTCATAATTAGAAAATGAGAAATATTTGCACATACATGTTTCTCTTTCATATTCTTCTTGGAAGACTGTTGTACTCTCAGTTTTTAGAGGAATTGTATTGCATTGCATAAAGCGAATGAGGAGTATGACAGATAAGAAAAGAATCCTTAGAGACTCATAATGTATATGCTCACAGTTACTGTATGGTTTAAAAATTAACTGTATTGATCTAAGTTTCTTAAGTGGTGATAATGGGACTGTGTCAATTTAAAAGAAATATATTTTCCACTATAATATTTGCTGTGATTTGTATCCCTTTGTCTTCAAAATCACTGCAAGAAATCTTAGTCAGGTATCTCAGGAACAAGACAGTAAATACCTCAGTTGCAATTAAACCTAACATTCAGCCCTGAACTTGGTATCAAAGGTAAAGTGAAGCTAGTTTGCTAATACAACTTAAGAATTATGAAAACTTTTCAGGAAGTCAGTCTGCCTAACTTCCTTGTCACATTCAGCACCAATGGCTCTAAGCTTTTCTTGATATCAAACTGAATCTGAACAAGACAATGACTGACCACATGTTTAAAGGAATCAAAGCTGAACCTTTACATCCACAAGCTTAGTTATATGCCAAACTTGAAGCAGAACAGGATAAAGCCAGAATTTTAAAGATTCCTGCGGCTGCTCTGACATACCAACTCCTTCAAGCTACTTGTGGCTATTAAAGGGATCAGAAATGTTATCTACAGTGCATATGAAAGGCGAATATGAAAGGTACTTTGCAAAAACAGAGGCATCTCATGGAGCCAAGATTTACCCAATTATTAGTACACCTGGAAAAAAAAGTGCTTTCTTATTATGTACAACTTCTCACATTAATTAGACGATTAAAATGATTGTATATTTGGAAAAGAATGGATTTTTACAACATGCCCCAACAAGTAAAGCCAATTGATACCACAGCCATCAGGAAGAGTATAATTAAAATACAATTTTGACTTTATATTAATAATAGACCAATATACTAATTAAAACCAATATCAACTGAACTTTCTATTTACACTAGTTCAGACAGCACAGGAGGCAAAGAACTGTGTTTCAGAAGCATATGTGAATGTTAGAGCTTCTGTCATCCAGGTGCCATTTCTAACAGAACACATGTGTGCCGAACAGTTGGCAAAAGAATGAAAAAGATTACTGCAGATATATGGGCACACAGAATCTGGGATTACATAAAATTAAGTCCATATGAAGGTGACAGACTGCTCCTAAAAGGAATTTTTTCCCCCTACAATTTCTTCCATCTTCATGCACGCGCGTGTACACACATGCCCAAGAAAGATTAAAAGGGAAAGGGAGGATGAGGGGAGTTTGATATATTTTAAATAAAAGATTTTTTATTTGGTAATTCTGCTTTCTTTTGGAAAAGGAAACTAATTTGGTTATTAGGAAGCTTTGATTCCTCAGGTTGGTCAAGGCAGACACTTCTGTGAAGTCAGCATCAATACCCATGATAGTAATAGCACCTGTCTTTTGACATCAAAGTTCTCTGCCTGAGACAAAAATAATGTAAACAATAAATTTCGTGTATTGTACTGTTGGTCCTGGCCTTGGTGTTAATCAAATACACTTGGCCAAGCATAAGTGTTCTTATTTTGGAGATCTGGAATGTAAAAGGGACTGATGTATTGCAAAACTTTCTTATGAATTTGGACTGTAAGAAATGGTATCATTTACTGTCTCTCAGTGAAGAGGCTGCGTGTTCCTATGAAGTCTTATTGAAGCTGAAGAAATCTTGATGATAGATTCATTGCATCTGCTAGTTTTCATCTGGATCCAGATCAAGGTCAACTTCGTTGGAAATGTTAAGATAAAAGAAAGCATAGAAAGCCAACAAAAATACCAGTATAGCTGCAAGGACAAGGGCAACTTCCTGTAGAAATAAAAGAAAAAGAAAAAGAAAAACAAAACTTGTTAGAAGTAATATCATATTTTCAGAGTAATCAGGAATAAATATTACTTCTATAATGCACATCGCAATAACGTCAGATATATATAACTGCAAAAGGCATTTATGCTTTAATGATTTCTTTTTTGTGATTATCATTTCAAGTATTATAAAATCCATTCACTTAATAAAGATTTTGGTGAGTCTGTTATACTGCCAGAAAGAGGATATTTGGCTTAAAAATCTTGAGTCTGACCTAGAAATAGAGCTTTATATCCTTTTATTATGCTATTCCTTCTTTTTTAAAAGACAGAATTCACAAACCACAGTTTTGAATACAAATTTAAGTTATGAATTTACACTGTGAATTTTGATGTTTTCTAGCAATATGTTACTGCTTTTTGCCAACAAATTTGTAATTTTTTAATGAAGCAAACACAGTATGGTGGAAGTCAATGAAAATTGCTACCTCTACCTCCCAACCTCCTGGCATGCATTACAATATGAAGCTACAAAATCCTTCAGAATTGGATGAAACTTTTCTTCCTCTCTGCAATAAGGCAAAAAGCACAACAATTTGCACTTGCACTTGCCTCTCTTCCCATAAAATATTGCAACTTGCTGCATCTTCCTTAATTAACATAAAAGAGTCTTCCAAAGTATACATGATTTATAGCAGCTTTCAGAAGCAGAAAAATGTTTTTGTACTACACATCATACTCATTATGTGACTGCCTATCATCTCCAAGGCTGGACTCTGTTAAGCTCCGACTTTAGATCTCATAATAAATCATAGTATGATCATCTCTTTTATAACACTACTTCTTTCAAAGTCAAACTATTTCACATTTTTAAGATTTTATTTTTTCTGTAAGGCACAGCAACTTTACAATAGTTCAGATTTTCCTTATCATCATGATGTATTTTTAAAATTGTGCACTGAGATTCTCCAAAGGAACATGTTAGTTTGTGCCTCCAAACCCCATTTTCCCTTTACAAATAGAAGCAACAACCTCTGCTTCAAATCTCTGCTTCATGTTAAGGTATAAAACAACTACATCAGAACAATTCTGCTGTATACTTTAAAGAAGAGAAGAAAAACAGTTCAGTGACTTTATAACAACTAATCTAAATTGGTACAGAACATGAGACATCAAACCTACCCTGCGCCAGTGGGACTGAAAGGAGATGCCTACGCCTCACCCAGACAGTAAGACACTGTTTACCATGCAAGGACAGAATCTGACCCTCTGGTGTAAGATTCACTGTGTCCTCTAGGAAAGACCAGGTGAATTCTTCCCAAAAATGCCCATTTCTCCCCTTAGACTAGAAAGAGAGCGTAGATGCTACCTCTATTGTGCACTGTAGAATGAATCCTATCCACTGTCTCTAGGTTGGTGGTGGCTTTGTGACCAGCTTTGTTTGTCCACTGCCATGAAGGAGTTAAAACTGTGCATTTCATTTTTTAAAGTCTAGCCCATAATCTGGCATTTTTCTATAGAACAGCATTTCATTTGCATTTACATGAATGCATTATATAGTTTATCAGAATGTTGGATCAATAATTCAACATATGCCACCTAATAAATTTTGAAATACTACTGCCTAGTTGGCTTATGTTCTATAGGAGCATAATCCTTGTTCTTTAGAAACCTTTGCTTTACATTTTATATGGATGATTAATTGAGATGTACTTTAAATTTGTTTTACCTCATTAAAATTGCTTCTGTATATTTGCTGAGGCTGTTGGCTACAGATTTCAACTACATTTTCCTCTTAGAATTGCATCATCCTCTGAACTTCATCCTCCTGATTTCATATGATTTGATTAAAAAAGAAAGAAAAAAGAAAGTACATCTAATTCACTAATATATTAAAGGAAAGTGATTTTTGCTTTGTTGCAGTTGCAACACGTCAGTATCTCACAAAAGGGCATGGCAGCATCAGACAGGTTTCATTTATTTCCTTGTATCCACAGCTGTGCTCCCAGACCCATCTGGCCACACAGCTACTAATCTTAAGAGGATGTAATAAACAAGTGACATACAACTGCAAGCTCCATCTGCTCAGGAGAGTGGACAACAAAACCGCACAATGCAGGCACCGCTCACACTTGACACAGAAAGCAAATTCATTCCAGTATTAAAAAGTTTTTTCCCTTGTTTGGATGCCATGCTTGACATGCTTTCTGCTTTACAATAGGTTCACCTTTCCCCTCCCTTCTCCCCAGTCTCTCTTATGAAATGCTGTGGTAGCAGCAGTAAGATTTTGAGGAATCTCTGCATTAAAGATTTGTTTCAAAGGAAGTGGAATTGGGAAAAATTCATGAGTTTTATTCTCAGGCTGCCGAGTAACTGCTTGATGGGAGCAGTTCTTTAATTCCTCTGCCTAAGTTTTACAATGAATAACACTGCAATAACAATACTACTTTCCTTACACAGCCATTAGGAACTGGGTGGCTGGATCAGTATTTATTATCCCTGGGAATAAATAGCCTTATTGAAACTCCAGGTTTCAGAATTATGCAAGAACCTTAATTTTTAGTTACTGAAAAAGGTAGAGTAATAAAAATCTCAAATAAATGGCCTAACAAACTATACCTGGCTCTCAGCTAGGGACACATAGTCTCTTAGGAATTGCATCCATTTTATGAACTTTTATAAACATAAATTTTGCAAGGTAAATAGCAAATGCGAGGCTACACTACTATACTGTACTTGCAACAACAGTATATCTTGTCATTTTAATTTGTTTTATACTTATCAGACTTTGCTATTTGTATCTTAAGTCATGCATAGAAATGAAATGTTAAAATACTCTCCTCTTGGCATATATAGCTCCCTTTCTCTTGTACTTTATGGATCATCCCCATCATCCCTCTGCAAAATCCATTTACTCAGAGGATTTCACCATGAATAATTAAAGAATATAGAAAAAGTCTTATAGAAATAAACTTAAAATGATCACATGGCTTTTTCTCCTTTTTTTTTTTCCTTCTTTTATATCATGGTACAAACCACTAGGAAACAACATCCCTGCTCTCAAATCCCGAAATACGGTCAAAGAAGCCTTTAAAAAGGAACAGAATTTTCTATTATATTCTCTTATATTTAGAATAATGTCTGCAGAATCCTACTGATTTCAGCTCGGTTAAGTTTTTCAGAAACTTTTCATACAGGAAACACATGCCGTTACAGCACAATGTTGATTTAATTCTCCTTTTATTTTTTGTCAGCTTTACATCTCTCATGCCAAAATACTTGGATAATGTCCTCAAATTCACCCTGATAGAGCAAGTGGCAGAGCTGGGATCTAAACAAGATTAATCGGGAGATAGGGTGAGGAAAAAATGTTGGCTACAATAATATATATGGTTACATATATATGTTTACAGCATATAACTATATACAAATCTGGACACCAGGGCAGCATCGTATCCTACACATATAGAGAAATATCATACTTTCAGGAAATTTTAGGGTGTTTTTACATATTTTTTATTGTCCTCCAGAGAGAATCGTATCTTTTTTACCTGAAAGCAGCTTAAAATTAGGTGAAAGAGTACCATAAATTGCTCTCTTTGAAATGCTAAACTATCCCTATCTCTTTCTGAAAAGAGATGAAAGAAAACCATGCTGACCAAGGATACCTGTAGAAATAAAACAAACATATATGGGCTTGACAGTCAATCTTTTTATCTCATATAATTTTTAACTGAAGACTTTATCTGGACACTCACTGCGACTATTTTTTAGAGTTTCACCAAAATTGTATTTAAAAATGAATGCTTACTTCCCTAATGCTGGACATTCTACAGTTAACAGAAGGTAACAAAAGTAACTTATTAACTTTTACCTGCACTTATGTTATAATTTTTTACTGTAAAAATTTGATATGGAAGAAAGATCATTATTGTCTCAAATAATGAGAAAGAGGTACTACTATTACAGAGTCATCTAAAAGGTTTGGCCTTTCACCCACAAAGCAGCAGGATTTGTTTTAATATAGCTAAATGCAAAATAATATATACAGGTAGCAAAGATATAGATAGTGCTTGCAAAGTGGAGTACTCTGCCTCAAAAAAAGCTATGACTCTTAAAAAGGCCTTTGGATCTCAGGGGTAACTACTCCCTCAGTGTGATCTCTGGATGTCCAAAGGCAGAGGGATTTCCAGTAGGGAGATGATTGGTATTTATTTTATCATAGAGAAGAAAGAGAGGTAGTTTGGTTACCGCATATAACTATATATACAGGTATTTAAGTAAGGTCCTTCACAGAGTGGAGTCCTTTTATCCTGTTTACAAGAACCTCTCAAGGTCCATCTGCAGTTAGATAAGCTCAGTTTTGAAAAAATATGCCATTTCCTAGGAACAAGAACGATTGAACATTCCAGTTAACTCTTGGGGTATGGACTTCCATAGCTATGAGTCTTTTATCATCAGATCTCTCTCAAAAAAATACATTTTTATTAAGCAACTGGAAAGAATACTTCAACTTGGCCTTATGTGAAAAGGAGGTCCTGGCTGCCAACCTTGGAGTTGGTGAACACAGCGCTCCTGGCTGCCCCTCTCTTTCAGGGCCCTGGGAAGACTGGGATTATTTACACTGTCAGTGCTATATTCTAAACCCCTGAAGTATCAGGTTATTATGTAATGACACTTCCTACTTAGCTAATCAGACTTTTCCATTTGAAGTGTTACCTAGACTGATTATAAGCAGAGACATAAGTAGGCCTGAGAAAGATGGACTATTGCTTCTGGAGGGTACAGAAAATCCTCCTGAGCTCTTGCTTGGTGTATCTTGTTCACATGCTCAAACCACTGTGATTAATGCATTTATACGTCAGGCCAGGGTCTGATTTTCTTCTCTTTTAACATGTTGTTTCCCCTCCCTTTCATTTCAAGGTCAGGGATCAAAGCCTGACTACTGGGATCACTGGGAATACCATACTGTATTCATGGGTGGCACATTAAGATGCTCTGCAC